AATAGTTCAGATTAGAAATCATTCAAAATTCCAACTTACTAGTTTTTAAAGACTTAAACATAAATGAATAATTTAAAATTATATATTAAAGGAAAGATGGCTAGTTTCGATATTACCAGCTGTGGAAATGGTCAGGAACGAACTTATTCCCTACCAAGAACCTGGATTGAGAACCAGAAGGACGAGCAAAAGATATTATATTATGAGCACAGTTGTGTGATTCCTGAAGCATTTAAGCTTCAAAGAAAAATACACAAATAAACTAGGGAAATTTTCGTAGGTTCGTAGATATCCCCAAATGAGGTGGATATATTTAAGGGTAGTTGGGAAAAGTAAGGACGTTCTGCCCCAAAGTATTCTGTGGGGATGTAAATGACTCGTCAGTAGTATTACAACCATATCAACGTAGGGGCATACGTAATACAATGCACTTATAGGTTGGAAAGTAGTGAATGGGGATATTCCATAAAAAGGAAAAAAGAAAGGAAGTTGAACATTAGTGTTCCCGTAACACCCTCACTTTTGGATTTCGATTCATTCAACCGCACTTCAGTGAATATAGGATTAGTGAAACTCTTAAATGATGATTCACCACTTCACGAAATGATGAAGAGTTCAAAGGGGAATATACGACAAGAGGCAAGAAATAAGAAAAGCTTTGCCAGTGAATAATTACCCTGATATAATAGAGAAGATTTTTAGCTCAGATGCATGATTTGCAATTAATAGTGTTCTCTGAGCTGGTTGGTTTAGCTGCGGAGCTTTCATCGTCCTTCTGGACAACATCTTCAGCGCAATATTTAGCATAAAGTGAAATGATTTGAATTTTTCATGAGTGATATAATTGCGTCTCCCGGTAACCATCTTTACATATGTATTGATCATTTTCTATCGACTTGGATTTTAAACTTTCTGGTCATATGATTTACTTTTTATTAGTTGGTATATTTGGTCTATATTAACGTGTTTGTTAATTGCATATTCAATATAGAAAACATCCCCATTTAGACATTTGGAAAACAGAAAGATTGAGCGAAGAAATATTTACTTTTCAATTAGATCCTCTTCTCTGGCTCTACTCTAATATATAGCATTTTTTCAATACACAACAATTTACCAAACAAGTGGTGATATGTTTGTTAACAATAATTAAACAGTGTCAAAATGTCAATGGGTTGATAATTAACGCAGAAAATCAATACACATTTAAAAAGTAGAAATGGATAGAATAAATTAATTTTACAAGAATAACACGTAATTAAAGATGAAGTGGTCAAAATAAAAATAAAATAATTTGGACAATTATAATTTAATAGGGGGAGGGGGGCGACGTAGTCCTGTCTTGTAACGATGGCCACGGTAAGGAAAGTGGCTGTACAAATTTCTTCTGTACACATAGGCTTGGTTTCTTCTGGTGGATTCCGATTGCTTCAGCTGTCTGTAGAAGACGAACTCTTAGAGCAAAGTTAAGATTAGTCGGAATGCGATAAATAATTTTAAATGCAGTATTCACATCAACCTTGTGCTCAGTATCAACAAGGTGTGCTAAAATAGAACTACGAATAGATCTTGTTTGTCCCTTGCTTAACCACGCTGGATGATGTTCAGAAATACGACGATGAAACTGCCTAATTGTACGCCCAATGTAGCTGGCTCCGCAGCTGCAGTCAAACTGGTAGACACACATAGAAGAGGCGAATTTAGGTAGTTTATCCTTATTTCTCTTGAAGAGACAACGTACTTCTGCTGCATAATAAGCTCTTTTAACTGCATTCTTCAAGCGCTGTGTTATGATTTCACTGATGTTGTCACCGAGGAACTGCAATTTTATGAACATTGGCTTTTTCGAAACTGTAGCAATGCTGACTCTCTTTGGTGCTGAATTCATATTCTTCTCAATAAATTTATCTGGATAACCATTTTTTCTAAGTAATTCTTTATTAATCTTAAGCTTCTCATTGAGGCAGTCGTCTGAACATATTAACTTAGCTCTATGAACCAGACACTTTACCAGGTTACGTTTATATTTCAAAGGTACAAAATTCAAAAAATGAGTGTACTGACCTGTTGTTGTAGGTTTCCTATACACACTCCTTCTTAGTGTGCCATCATCTTTCCTTGCCATGAAGACGTTTAGGAATGAGTTCTATTTTACCACACCTTGTTGATACTGAGCACAAGGTTGATGTGAATACTGCATTTAAAATTATTTATCGCATTCCGACTAATCTTAACTTTGCTCTAAGAGTTCGTCTTCTACAGACAGCTGAGGCAATCGGAATCCACCAGAAGAAACCAAGCCTATGTGTACAGAAGAAATTTGTACAGCCACTTTCCTTACCGTGGCCATCGTTACAAGACAGGACTACGTCGCCCCCCTCCCCCTATTAAATTATAATTGTCCAAATTATTTTATTTCCATTTTGACCACTTCATCTTTAATTACGTGTTATTCTTGTAAAATTAATTTATTCTATCCATTTCTACTTTTTAAATGTGTATTGATTTTCTGCGTTAATTATCAACCCATTGACATTTTGACACTGTTTAATTATTGTTAACAAACATATCACCACTTGTTTGGTAAATTGTTGTGTATTGAAAAAATGCTATATATTAGAGTAGAGCCAGAGAAGAGGATCTAATTGAAAAGTAAATATTTATTTGCTCAATCTTTCTGTTTTCCAAATTGCATATTCGTTTGAGCACCAGGCTTCTAGGAGTTCCCTGGCACTTTTGGTGTTTCCTCTGTCTAAGATCTCGACATTATCCCAATCGAACTGATGTCCATAATTGTCTACATGCATTGATATGAAAGAATATATATCGTGTCTTTTCATAGCTGACTTGTGTTCCTGGATTCTGATTTGAAGGGGACGCCCACTTTGGCCGATGTAATGCCTGTTACAGTCCATATAATTTATTTTGTAAATGGTATTAATCTTTTCCCCTTTTTCTGTTGGATCTTTCGGTTTACATAATATCGAATTAAGTGACTTGACTGGCTTGTATGCTATATCTATATCAAACAGTTTCAGTATTCTAGCTGTTATTTCAGAGATATTTTTCATGTATGGTAGGATGAATTTTCTTGTGGTCTTTGATGATGGTTCCTTGTTGGTGTTATGATTCGATTTTAAACACTTTTTGATGAAATTTTGTGGACCATTTGTAGGTATTTTTCTTCCATTCTTTTCAACTCTGGAGTGCTACAGTGTGTTCGAATTCTTTTAAACAATGTCTGCACACAGTTTCTTTTGTGAGTGATTGGATTATTGCTAGTATAGTTAAGTATTTGATCTGTAAGCGTTGATTTTCTATATACTTGTGTTTCGAAATTTTCTGTGTTGGTTCGCCTGATTAAGACATCTAAAAATTAGATTTTATTATCTAGTTCTTCTTCTCTTGTGAATTTGATGTCTTCACATATGTTGTTTATTAATTTATGGGTATATTCTAAATCATCTCTCTTAATTATTACAAATGTATCAAATCAGAATCCAGTAACACAAATTAGCCGTGAAAAGACACGATATATATTCTTTCATATCAATGCACATAGATAATTATGGACATCAGTTCGATTGGGATAATGTCGAGATCTTAGACAGAGGAAACACCAAAAGTGCCAGGGAACTCCTAGAAGCCTGGTACTCAAACGAATATGCAATTAACAAACACGTTAATATAGACCAAATATACCAACTAATAAAAAGTAAATCATATGACCAGAAAGTTTAAAATCCAAGTCGATGGAAAATGATCAACACATATGTAAAGATGGTTACCGGGAGACGCAATTATATCACTCATGAAAAATTCAAATCATTTCACTTTATGCTAAATATTGCGCTGAAGATGTTGTCCAGAAGGACGATGAAAGCTCCGCAGCTAAACCGACCAGCTCATAGAACACGGTTAATTGCAAATTACCCTGATAATTTATATATATATATGTATATATGATAGGAAATTACAAAATTTATACGAACAATAAAGATGAAACGAATAAGAAACACACAGGAAGACAGTAACACCAAGAAGAGGGAACTTAAAACATTAGTAGTGCTGTCATACGAAGAAGAAATCCCTGAAAACTTGTGTAGGATCCTTAATAAGACGGAAATAAAAGTGGTATTCAAACCCGAAAAATAACTTAAGAAATAATTAAGCCTATTAAAGGATCTTATAGAGTTCATTGAACAAATAATTTAGTTTGTCTAGTACCCTGAGACCGAAATCATACGTCAAAAATCAAGGTCATATGGAGTAACGGAACTTGTTGACCTTAATCAGATAAGACATCTAGAAAAAATTCAGCATCGGTAGTTCAGCGGCGGAATTCCCGCTAACCATGTACGTGGTCTACGGCTCTACCCCCCGGCCGATATACTCCTAAACTTCACCTAACCAATCGCAAGCCCGTTGGACGTGAGACCAGCCACCCCACCCAGTAAAAAACAACAACGCTGCTACTGAAACTTAAAGGTCCCAAGCCTAAAGTTTTGTGTTCCGCTCAGAACCCAAGAAGTGAGATGAAAATTAGGTGGAACAGCACTACATGCAGTCACACACAACTATACAATAGAATGGGACAAGATGAGTCTTAAAATCCAACGTAACAGAGTAGAGGGAGAGATTGGTAACTGAAGATCTACTTGTCGAGATATAATTAATATGATTATGAATAGTGAATTATGGTCAAAAAGTCAGCCAGTATATAATAATATTTCACTGTGTTATGTATTCGACAAACAAATTATTAAGAAATTACTGATTGTTTCGCCAATGCATTTGTGGACATTTCGATTGTACTCACCACAAAAGTAGACGTATGTTGTGGAGCTCAGTTACGTGAAATAACGCTTTAGCATGTTACACTGTACACCAAAACTATATGCTATAAGTGAAATCAACTACAATAAATAGTAGCCTATTAAGCATCGAGCGAATTGACTAATAATTGGTGACAATGCACTATTATATTTTACAACACTTACACAAATAAACGGAAGTCCGAATCCAACTTTAGCTCAGTTTTCAGAGAATTAAACGAACGATACAAAACACCAATATCAGGATTTTTCAACAACAGTTGACCAATTAAAGCTCGATGATCATAAATATTTCCTTCATTTTCACCGACTACAACGAGGATGGATACTTTAGTTGGGACTAATTTCCTTCTAGAACAATCTTCGACATACATTCTACATGCGAATATCAAGGCTTCAGAAAACCTGTCAGCAGGAAAGCAGTCTGGCACCTAGGTGAGAAATCAATTGTAGAAATAAAATTTTTAGTACATTAAACCCATCACATTTAATAAAATTTACAAGTTTAAATACGCTGAAACAACGTGAATGTAATGCAACAAACAAATAAATTGTAAAAGTAACAGTCATGCCACGAAAAGTAACTCTTAAACCTAAACATGGTTCACCTAAATTGCTTTGGAGAACTGTAGCTCACATGACAGAGTCGTTCTGATATCGAAATCCGATGGTTAAAAAATAATCAGCTGCTCAAAATGGGTGTCAGTGGTATACAAGGACTAATTACTTGGATTGTTACGTGATCCTTAACTTAGATATTCGCAATTTTTCATTTAAATATTGAATCACTCTTGATATTTATTTTCCCTTGTAACAAGGAGAATTCAAAACTAAGAGGTATAAATAACATGGTAAGAAGGGGAAAAAAGGAATAACGCCATTAAGAACTAAATAAAGAAAAGGTGTAAATGATTTTGCGAATCATATCACCTGGCCCTCCTACTAAATGGTTTCACTTGTTTTGTGCACCCCAAGCAGCAAGTCTACATTTTATTGAGACACAAACACCCATAGTTAGATACTTCATGCAATAATGTAATATCCTACTCTTGCCCCTATATGAAATCATATTATTGTTATTGTCTCCGTTAGTTCCTAGAGGAACATAGGGCTTCAGCCACACGTCTCCACTGAGTTCGGTTCTTCACCAACATTTTCACCTGACTCCACGTCTGCCCATATGTTTTCATCTCCTCTTCGCATGACCTCCTCCATGTCACCTTCGCACTGACGACCAACTCATCACTTCCTATTCGGGTTCCACTCGACAGCCTGGAGTGTGATATCACTTGATGGTTTACTCAAAGTATAGCCAGTTCACCTCCATGTCTTCCTGCACACTTGGTTCCTGGTTGAATCCTTCCCAGAGATCCCCTGTTGCTGATTTCTTCTGGCCATGTTATCTTGAGTATTGAGTGTAGACAGCAATTGATGAAAGTCTGTAGTTTGTATGAAGTGCCCTTCGTGACGCGCCAAGTCTCTGATCCGTATAGTAACACTGACTTCACATTGGAGTTGAAAGTCCGCATCTTATTTTTCATGCTGAATGCTGTTGATCTCCACAGAGACTTTGGAGTAATGAAATGTTTTAGCCTAATTCACATTAAACTGGCACAAGGTATTTAGCCAAATAACAGCACAACATGCATAAAACGTAGTACATTACTTCACCAAGCAATCTACTTTGTATTCAGTATCACGGTCTAAATAAAAAATTACTAATAGTAAGTAATATTAAACATAAATGACGCTAAGAAAATCATTTGGCGTATGATACCAATTACAAATATATTATGTTAGAAATGATCATCACAATGAAACTGATTCATGTATTTTATTCTAATTAACATATAAAAGTCACTAACTGAAATAAATTATGCATCAAATGCCCTTAAACAGTATTTTGTAAGGTTACAGGCCCTACAAGTACAATAAAATCGTGATAATAACAACTGCATATGTACAATTTAGATATAGTCTTAAATAAGATAGCTGAGTCAGCAATATAAAAATGAAGACAATGCAACACTCAGTGCTTTGTCAAAGGTAAGTCAGTGAGAGACGTTCTACACTTCCAACGCTTAAAGTGCCTGGAAGATATGTTACGTACACCTAGCCACTGAACACCTCGATAACTTACGTTGCCTGAGGTTGAAATATACTAAGGGAAAGAGAAAAGTAGCCAGAAAATGCGTATCAGTAACCTGCAAAGCCCTGACTATTGCTTTCAGTGAGGCATCTGACCCTAACTTACTGATAACAGTAGCGGAGATAAATCCACAACTTATCTTCATCTCAATCACAATATCATATTCATATTTCCTCCTCCCCTTTTTCCTGTTCTTAATAAGTACTAAGAATAATGAACAATTTATCTGCATTTTTTTCGCCTCAGCTCTTAATAACGTCTACTCGGTGACCAAATACTAGATACGGTACCTTGAACCTCTGGGTAATAAACACAAAAGCTAATAAACCCTTTCTGTAAGCAAAAGATAAGAAAAGCTGGAAAACTCAACAAGATCTGAAATGTTTAGTAACTAAATGCAATAAACTAGTGCCTACCATGAAAGTAGGAAGTACAGCTTTGTCCTTCAGGTAAATAAAAAAATATGAAAATCATCAGTGAAAAGTTAAACAAATATGGACTAAGCTATATTAAACAATTCAGTTTCAAAGTCGTGTGATTATAGTTGATATGACTATGAACAATAAATTATGGTAGAGACGTCATCCTTTAAATAATACTATTTCACTGTGTGATATATCTAATAAACAAATTAATATAGAATTGCATACTATCACAGTGCCCAAGTTTTACACATACATTGATCTGTTAAACAAGCTGATTGAAAATAAATGTAAGTACAAAACGTTTATCATTATTAACCTCAACTTACACGAGTAGCTAAGTTCTTGGATAAACCTTGAAGAGACAAGGAGATGCGATGTTGTGGAATAAGGCGCTGCACTAGGCCACCAAAGCTTGATGCTATCATATTGAATTCAACTTGACGCAGGGACAAGCCATCCCACACTCCGTCCTGAGTTTCTATTTCATATTCTGCAGCCACCTTTGTGTTTCGTAGTCGATGTGTAATGAATTTCTTCTTTGTTTCACATAAATCTCCATGAAGATGTAACATATAATCAGATCGATTAAGTCCTAAAACTATTTTCTGTGAAAACATCAGAAACAGGTACTAAGAAAGGGTTCTTTACGTAACAAAAAATTAGTGATATATTATAAGGGATCTACAAAACACCAAATTATCCAAACTAGAGGAGTGGCGACAGAGATTGTCACGCACACTGAATCTATTTGGTTTATTGCAGCATGAATATCCACACTATAAAACATAACAGTCACAATTAGGAACATTTAAGTTTAATGAGATAAAAACAACAACTATAAATCTTAGCATGACAAAAATGTACCTGATATGATAAAGTATTTAAAAACACGGAACAATTGCGTTTGATAATGCACATAAGTCATAACAGTAAGAATATCAATAATGCACTTCCCATTTTGCTCGCTTCAATAAACACCACTTAAGCTGTATAAACATTTGGTACATAACTGTTTAACCAAGACTAGTCAACTAGTAGCCTACTTCTCTGATCAGTTCCAAGACCTAATAAAAACGGAGAGTTAGGCATGGGTATACCGATCCAACATCACAAAAGCTATCACACTGCTACAGAAACTTCAACGCACAAAAATGCATCAAAAATTAAACATTCAAATAAGAAGCTTATTCTTTGCTGGAATCAGAGAGGCGAAACGACACAACGGGCTGGTGAAAGCTCACCTTCGGGAAGCCAGTCAACCGATGTGTCTTCCCTCGATGAAAACAAGAATAAGAATGGGGACGTGAAATGTAAGTACAATGTACGACACTGGGAAGGTCGCCCAGGTAGCCAAAGAAATGCAAAGATATGGCAAAGAAGTGTTGGGAATCTGCAAGAACAGATGGAATGAATGTGAAGTGTTAAAATGGCGAACTGGTGAGTCAGTAATCTACTCCAGTCTGGTCACCCATACGACAACCGCGAGCACACTGAGGCAGTGAGTGGCTGCCATGACGTCACCACCCGCAGCACTGCGAACCAGATAGACGACAACTCAAAAGGACTTAAGGGAGTAGAGACGCAGACAGTCTGATGGACACAAAGTCACGAAGAGGAGCACATGTGGTCTCAGACCATCATCTAGTTCAAGGAACTTTCAAGGTGCAGCTGAAATCCCTCGGAACAACTGGAGACAGGTTACAATTCAAGTTCACCATTCAGAAACTGAAGGATAAAACAACAAGGGATGCCTTCACTACAAATCAAATCAGAGAAAAGTCGGATACACTACGTGATATCATTGAGGAAACCTGTGTCGAAGAACATTGGATTTCTCTGAATGTGATGTTCAGGGAAACGTGTACAACTGTTCTAGGAAGACAGAAAAGACACGACAAGGATTTCGCAGATGATATATATCTAATGTCAAAACGAAAAGCAACAAACTGGCTCAGAAAGCAGGCAGTGAAGACAAGACTCCAGGTGAACATAGAGAAAACGGTGATGAAGACAACCGACGAACTGTAACAACAACAACAACCAGCACCAATCACCATCAACAGGAGACATTTGGCAGACGTTACTTTCTGCGCTCACTTATCTAGGAAGCATTGTTTGAACCACAGGCGGAATGGATGAAGATGTCAAAGTCATTTGGAATCGGAAAGGCCAGATACACCTTCATCAACCTGAAACCAGTTTGGAAATATTCCGCACTCAGCACAATGAACAAGATTCGAATCTACAACATAAATGTCAAGTAGGTCCTTCTATACGGGTCACTGCGTGTCACGAAAAGGAGTTCCAACACGTGACTGCAGGCTTTCATCAACAACTACCTTCGTTGGCTCCATACTGAAGATCAAATGACTGGCCATAAAGAATAAGTGACAAGAAACTCTGGCAACAAACCAACCAAGAGTCGATCGCTCAACAAATATGTAGGAGTAAATGGAGATGGATGGATCGGGCATACACTGAAGGACCGTCGAATGACATCACGCGCCAGGCCCTCGAATGGAATCCTAATGGAAATCGATGAGTTGGTTTTCCTAGGGTCACATGCAGGAGATCATGCGAAGAGGAGATGACAGATTATGGGCAATCGCGGACCCAGCTGAAGAGGATGGCAGAAAGCAGAATAAAGTTGAGATGCGCCGTTGAAGAACTGTGTTTCACTCGGAACCCAAGGCAATGGTAATAATGTTGTAACTATTAGGATTTGTAAACCGAGTACTTTATCTTATTTATTGACAAGACGTATCATAACGTAACAAGTATTTAAATGAAAATCTTTAAAATCCACACTGAAATTCACAAATTATACGTCATTTCGATCTGCTACTAATTTGTTTTTTGAGTACAACATTAAAATACAGTTCCGTGGTATTTTATTTTAAACAAACACAACCAAAACTTTCAAAGTAATACTAAAATTAAGTGTCCATACTAACTACTCACCTGTCTATTTTCACTACCTTTAGTACGTAAATAAATATCCCATAAAGATCGAAGATATGGATCTACGGGAAGAATACTAAAAAATAAGTCAGATGAAATCCTACGGTTTTAGCACCATTTCCAAAAATTCATGATCCATCGCGGCTTTGTGATAAAGTAAATTGAAGTCACACTGAATTCCTTGTGCTTGGCGAAGTAATAATTCCGGCATAGGAGATGGTGACAAGGTACATGATAAAATGGATGGATTTCCATCAACTTGTTTTAGAATCCCTGAAAATACGAAGCGACATTTAGGTATTTACCATTTGAAATAGCGAATTCTGTCGCCAGCTTGTATATGCTCATTTTATTCTCGTTGGCAATATACACACGACAGAACTAGGTAATAATCCAATTGACAGATTTAGTTAAGTCTGTAGGTTTCTTGTAAGGACACCTGAAGATAATGCATAAGACTAGCAGCGAAAATTTAGTCAACCGACACAAGGCTCTATAATTGAAAATAATGATAAAAACATGAATAGACAACTCTGCAAAGGTATGTAATAATGATTGACTACCGTAACAACGTAGGACTTTACTAACGCGTGCGTCAGTCCACACCCCCAGATTTAAGAGCACATATGACAGGAAATGTATCAATACTATAATAAACGAACGCATGTATTGAAGTGCAATAAAAATGACTGGTTACAACTCCATCACTGGAGACAAACTCTACTCAACAAATCTGTAGGCAGTATCCGATGTCCAAGTATTCAACTGGAATTATGGACTCCGTTAAAAAAAGTAATCAAAGACTTCATGCATCGGTGTCACGTTTAGGTCTGGTAACAAAAAAAGACAGAACTACTGTACAATATACACGCAATTCAAGTGGTAACCAGATATCACGCCTGCACTAATGTCACAAATCGGTTAAGGTTAAACTACTTGTTTATAAGCATATAAACACTATCCTCGACTAAAAAAATTATATTTGACTAAACCCTTTAGAAGATAGCATCGGTCAACACATTTGAATAAAGCTCAACACTAATAATACGAAAATTTACTTGTGCACAACCAAAACAATCCTGGCCAATCAGGAAGGTGAAAGTGCAGTGTGTATAGTCGCATAAGAGACACAGATGTCATCCTAATCCAGCTCGAGTCAAAATTACGGGAATGTCAGGAATGTTTGTTCCTCTCCAGTAGAATTCATTAGTTATCACCAACAACTTTCTTGACAATGGAACAATGTGGCACACGCCAAATTTTGAAAATTTTCACAAAAAACTGGCACGCGTTTTACTCACACTTGGAAGTTAATATCTTTGGAGGAACTTTTAAATTCAGCATTTATGTTGCTGCACAAATGTACTACTAGTTCGTTAGCATGTAGGTCTGTGTCCTCGCAGACATTGTGATTAAAATGGTCATGACAGTCATATCTCCAAACTATTTCACCACGAGCAAAGTTAGAAAATGACCAAGTTCTTGGCAGAATTACCAGCAAACGAAAATGAACTGATTAAAAGTGTACGTACCGAACAAGTTTGAAAGACGGTAATCCCAATGTCAAGGTCGTATGTGTTATCGCGTGAGAAGGCTTCCAGGTTCCTTCTCTATATTTAACAAATTCAAGAGTAAAACTTATGACAAATATGAAACTTATATGTTAGCAGTCACCGACTAACAGATGATCCTCAACCCAACAACCACATGACATAGACGATATATATATATGTATATGTATATTTATATATGCAAAATAAGATTAACCTGGCTTCGGGTTGATAAAGGCGTATGTGGCCCTTCCGATTCCAAATGGCTTTGACATCTTCATCCATTCCGCATGTGGTTCAAACAATGCTTCCTAGATAAGTGAGCGCAGAAAGTAACGTCTGTCAAATGTCTCCTGTTGATGGTGATTGGTGCTGGTTGTTGTTGTTGTTACAGTTCGTCGGTTATATTCATCACCGTTTTCTCTATGTTCACCTGGAGTCTTGTCTTCACTGCCTGCTTTCTGAGCCAGTTTGTTGCTTTTCGTTTTGACATTAGATATATATCATCTGCGAAATCCTTGTCGTGTCTTTTCTGTCTTCCTAGAACAGTTGTACACGTTTCCCTGAACATCACATTCAGAGAAATCCAATGTTCTTCGACACAGGTTTCCTCAATGATATCACGTAGTGTATCCGACTTTTCTCTGATTTGATTTGTAGTGAAGGCATCCCTTGTTGTTTTATCCTTCAGTTTCTGAATGGTGAACTTGAATTGTAACCTGTCTCCAGTTGTTCCGAGGGATTTCAGCTGCACCTTGAAAGTTCCTTGAACTAGATGATGGTCTGAGACCACATGTGCTCCTCTTCGTGACTTTGTGTCCATCAGACTGTCTGCGTCTCTACTCCCTTAAGTCCTTTTGAGTTGTCGTCTATCTGGTTCGCAGTGCTGCGGGTGGTGACGTCATGGCAGCCACTCACTGCCTCAGTGTGCTCGCGGTTGTCGTATGGGTGACCAGACTGGAGTAGATTACTGACTCACCAGTTCGCCATTTTAACACTTCACATTCATTCCATCTGTTCTTGCAGATTCCCAACACTTCTTTGCCATATCTTTGCATTTCTTTGGCTACCTGGGCGACCTTCCCAGTGTCGTACATTGTACTTACATTTCACGTCCCCATTCTTATTCTTGTTTTCATCGAGGGAAGACACATCGGTTGACTGGCTTCCCGAAGGTGAGCTTTCACCAGCCCGTTGTGTCGTTTCGCCTCTCTGATTCCAGCAAAGAATAAGCTTCTTATTTGAATGTTTAATTTTTGATGCATTTTTGTGCGTTGAAGTTTCTGTAGCAGTGTGATAGCTTTTGTGATGTAGGGCCGCTATTCACATTCACAACCATCCGTCCTCATACGGTCGTGTGAACTCACATATAATTTTTTTGGATATTTCAGTGTTTAGAGTGTCGTTGTTTGTTATTTTTACCCTGCTATTTGAGTTATAATTTCAAGCAAATTCTACGGTAATTTAAACCTTTTTTCGGGTTTCACTTTTCACTAGTGGTGAGCGTCGGTCGGGATTACCTCTAGTGAATTGTTTATCGAGAATGGGTTTCAGTTCATGATTGCACTAATTCGGTAAACAAATATAAAACTTGTTTTATACGTTTATGTTTATCCTCCTAACTTTATTGATGTTATCCCGTAGTCTGTTTTCATAATGTCGGGACTCATCAACATAGGTGCTATTCGCGTTTGTTGTAAACACATTGAGTTGGGAAGGGTAATTAATTGTTTATCTTGCAATAACATAATGCTCAATGCATAAATTCAATAGTATGTATGAATATATTTGGGAATATTTTTCGTTTCGGGAAAGTATTATATTAAACCTGATATTAGTGGATTTACTGTGCCTCACCTACTTTCTCTGACACTGTATGCTTAATCATATTTCCTACTCAGTGGTAGTAGAAACCCGTGAAATAATTCATCGGAAGCATGCAAATGTTTCCCATCGTCAAACAGCAATACTTTGTGGAACATATCAATCAAATCCAATTAGTGATGGAATTAACTAAATTTCAATTGTGAACAAGGTGTAACATACATTCGAGCATTCATCCATCTACTGATTATCCTGACAGTTCAAAGTTTTTACCTGTAGAACTCCACCAAATCTGGAATCCTAGAAAATAATGTAGGTTTGCTTATGTTTCTATTTTCAATCCTACAGACTCACTCGATTGTAATATTCGATTCCGGCGTGCTTCATGTATCAAATATCATGGCTTCTAACTGCGTATAAACTAAAAACTACCTACCTGTCTGCCGAATCTACCACATGTAACGCAGAGTTCAACTATTACATGCATTTTCATTCAATTTTATCGGTAATAATGCCTAGGATTGTATCTTGTAAATTGCCTTTACCTATTTTAAGTGAGTTTACTTGTACTATTCGGTTACCTTTCATTATACATATCGTGTATAGTTTAGTGAATATAAATATGCTTACTCTATGTATATAATATATAAAAAGACTGATGATTCCTACAAACTGGTGTCCCTCATATACAAACGAATAAGAATATATATCATTATTAATGTTTCATGCAAATAAGAATAAAGGCGAATATATGCCAGAATATCAGTCTTCATTTAACCATGCAAACACTGTATGACGACTGAGTGTTAAAGTTGTATAATATGTAATTGTTAACCCCATAAAGCAACTATATTTGAGTATCTTAGGATATTTTCAGTAATAGACTTATGTATGTTAACCAATGCATTACCATAAGCCTTTTGGAATTGAGATTTACATGTCATAACTGGTGACTTCAATTTCCTGCATAAACAGCTTTAATTCTATATGAAAGAAAAATCAAAGATCACGTGACATCACTTGAAGTTTCGAGTGATTTGCAATTCACACGCATTGAAAGCTTTAGTTTTAGTACGAGTAATTTTTGACATGTTTTGTACTTGCATAGATGAGTAGTTATCTCGACTGCTTAATAAGACAGTTACCGTATTTATTTTTCAAAAGTTGAAAGTTCGCTATCATCTTCCCATATCGGGAACTTAGGAGGTCTATTCATTCTCAAGAAATCAATAGTGCAATCAGCTGTGGATTACAAATACCCTCATTTGCAGGACAAGATCAATTAGTATTAAAAAAATTCATGTTAGTTTAGCATACTTATAACACAAAATACTGACATTTGAAGTCATCTATTCCTATTATGTATTGTGCGAGCTATCACCTAGCCTTTAATATTTTACTTATCCACGCCTGTACAACTGGTGTGTCCAACATTGATAGGAAAATATATGTTATTATTATTACCCTCCAAGCGATAAAGGTTGTCGAGCATGAAATCTGCGGAGTTCTATACCAAGCAAACTACCATTAACACCGTTGGACGGTATTCTGTGAATCACTGGGGTGTCTCACACACCCCTCATTTCTACTTACGAATTTCTCAATCACATAGGATTACTGTGGGCTGTTGTAATGTGTACAGTTTAAATGGCGCAAATTGGACTGGCTTAGTGAGATGAGGAATAAATGCATACATATGAAGCTGTTGTTTCAACCCTAGGATTATGCTTCTCTTTCTATACAGCAGGTCATTGTGACAACTAAGTAAAATTTAACAAGATGAAGAAATACATCGTGCTATCTGACAACCTCGAGCCACATACTCAAATTCCCCTTCACCAACGTTTGCAGGCATCCTTTCTGAAGTTGCAATGGAACGATAGTGCCCTGTGACTCAGTGTCATCGAAAACGGCTCCCTCGAAACTAGCCAGTATTCTATGTATGCCCTTACCAATAATGCCCAGCCAACATGTTATATTAGACCTTTTGTGCCACCTACCAGCCAGTTTATGATTACATTTGGAAAATAAATTTCTACCTAACTCTTACAGGACAACTCTGCAGATATATTGACTGACATTTGTCTATTCATCCGGAAAGCAAATGCCTGAATATGAAAAGTGCTTGCCCTTCTACCTTTAGAGCAACGAACTTTGAATGTAGGTAAGAGTATTTCGCAGAATTGGCGGAGAGGATGCATTCAGTGTGAAAGTTGAGCTCATTTGCCTTTTACAATTCCTCGGTATCTGAATGAAACCACTTCATCAGAGCTGCTTTGGTTAGCAGGGTATAACCAATGCCATGCACCTAGTTCTCGCCTTTGGTGCTAATTAACTTCTAACAGTCACGTTGAAAGTGTCCTTAGTGAGCTTGGTAAATGGTTAACGACGCATTTTAGGATACGTGGCAACATACTGACCAACTAGTGCATCCATTACGACCCTGCGAGACGATGGTCATGAACCCGAAAAGTTCAGCGGTAACGTCCCCTACTGCAGTGGTTGACTTGTTTACCAATCCTATGTGGGACAAGAGATAATTCAAGGTTAACGCTACGCCTTGCATTTCGGTGCAATGAAGCTCTAAACCTGGGAGAAGGGTTTTTCTGATGACCGTCTCCAAATATTCAAAATCATTTCCGAAGCTCGTGATACTATTACTTCTGTTTTGATGAAATCAGTTGTCGAAATCAGCTACACCTTGAAGTAAAGCCTTCTTCATCTACACATTCAGAATAATATCTTAAATGGCGATTACCGCCTTAATAAAAGGGCATAATAACCCCTTGAAATCCACGCTGTCTTCCAATAGGACTGGCCATTCACACACAATATATCTAACCAAAAGCACTTAATATCGGCACATCGTTCTGGAATACAGACGGATCTCAAAAAATTACCACATGGTGGTCAGGTTTCCAAACCAACTAACGCTTGCTAACCGGGATAGGTAACCTGTGGCAACAAAACTGCATCGTTGATTAATGTGCATGTGAGATTCCCAGCGGAAATTCAAGAACTCGCCTTGAGTGATAATTAGTTGAAAAACTGACACGTGTAAGAGCCACTTGCAGAAGTTGTTTAGGACCAAAACTGATATATCCCTAATCTTCAATAAGCGGGGTTAGTCTAAAAAAACAATTATATTAGCAGCCATAACTTTGAATATTTCGCATATATATAATTAATATAATATCCGCTTCTACTCTGTGTACAAATAACTGACTTCATCCAATAACTACCCATTTCATGTACTTTTCTAAAATCTATTATGTCAAAACAACTCGTAGTATAAGTTAGAGGATCACTTTGCAATATCTAACGAACATCAAATTGAAAGCGGTTATAAAAATTAGTACAAGTTCTGCCAACTAAAAAGGAGAAATGGGATGTAATCAGGTTGCATGAAATGCCCCATGTCTATTAATACTAATTGAGAATTAGACAAGTGTCGCTTGTTTCTGTGTGCATTCCGATAAAACTTTTTGGGGTGAAGGTAGTTATCAGTATATCAGTTATTCTTGATGGCAACCATATAGAAAATTGATAGTACTCTCTGAAAATGCAAATTAGTACAGCGAGACTGTATATTTCCCAGAAAACTACCAAAATCGCCAATTAATTCGTGTAAAAGTACAAAACACGATTAAATGTAGGAGTCGTCGAAAGAGACTAAAGTTATAGAGAGCGATCGATACCCACAGGGGAGAAACGAGATGAAGACTCAAGAACTACTTAACTAACCAAAATCATATTTCAAAAGGATGTGTGCGTCCTCCAGGGGTTCACCTGTAGGGTGCTGGCAGCCACTCCAGGTGGTCCAAGTCCAAAACTAGGCCAATACATTCCTAAACTTTATTTGGTCAGCAGCAAGTCCAGTAAACAAGGAGTATTGGGCGTGAGAGTAGCTACCACACCCGGTGAAGAACACCACCAGTTCTGAGACTTCAGAGTTCATGTTTGAAGCCTTATATTCCAATTAAAACGTAAAGGAAGCGAAAAACAGTGTAGCGTGGGTAAATAACTTCATGTGGCACACAGACTGTTCCACATCATCGAGTAAACTTAAATAAACAAAAAGACAGTCAGACATTGATTTTTCGAAGTGTTTAACACAGATCTACACACTCATAAGAGCTTCGCAAGGTAAAGTTAGATGTTAAATTCCTTATTACAATGTAAATGCAACACAGAACGGTTCACTATATAAAGTAGATGAAGTAAACTTTAGTTTCAAAAGTGCTGACAACTTATAATTGAACTCTGAATCTTCTTTCTCAAGACTACCGTCTGCTTCTACGGTATTAATTCTCGAAACGCGTTGTACTTCTCCAGCAAAATAACAGATTTAATGCATTTTGCGAGGGTCACGTAGTGTATAACTTTCAGAAATTGAGCTAAGAGAGAACATAAGTGTCCTGTAGTCTACAAATGTAATGAACTCAAGGACTTTCCATGAATGTTGCAAATGATTTATTGAGGTGAACTTGAGCAAGAGTCCTTATCACTGATTTCGCCGATGGTTTCTTAATCCTGAAGCTCATTGCATGAGATGGCCACAGCATGCCATCAGTTGTTAATTAGTTCTTGTATGAATGCAAATACTGCAAAATGAAGAGCCCTGACTGCTACACTCAGAGATTAATTAACGTCGTGTAAAAATAGCATGAAAGCTTACGAGGTGTGACCTATGGGCTTGGGCTCCGACTTTCAGCCAGCAGGCTACAGGCTCAAATTTTACTTCAATCACTTCGGCCTGGGCAGAGGGGCAGCATAATCGGCCTGCAGACAATGCATTTGGCTACCGACCTTGAAGATCAAAGACCTCTTCCGCGCTGGTTCAGGATTTCTGCTATTTTTTATCGTTTTTAAATGACAATACTTACTCTGTGCAGCCGTAGTTGGTCCAAGCCAATTGAGGATAGGGCTTTAAGTAGATTTTTTAATTTCCTTTGACATTGAATGTCAAGTTTTGTAGTTGGCTCCACACAGCTTGTCCAATCGCTGTCCTCTCAAAAACGTGGTCGAGTATTTCGAATTTTTCGGATAATGGACATTCCACTTAAGTGCAGTAGTGAAGAACCAGGAGTTCTGAAAGAGGTAAGTATGTTTTATTTTATGTCAAATATGCAGATTGACTGCTACATATCACCGGCTATGCAGAGGCAAATTTTGTTGCTTTTGGTACGTCATATTCATTACGCACGTTTATCTGTACAGTATAAAAATCGTGAAAGCTACCAAACTTTGGACTCCGAGTCAATAAAAGAGGCTCGAATCAAGCCAAACCTAGATCTCATTGAACTTAATATTAGGGATGGTCGAAGCTGTTATGTTGAATCCACTGGTGAACAGACGTATGTTTAAGTCACATAATGTAGCCATTCCTTTAGTGATACGTATCTCCTGCGTTCCAACACTGTGACATTCCCAAGGACACTTTTGGGGTATTTCGTTAATGGTAAGTTACGTAATTATTAATGACGTACTAGATGAGTGCCACTTCGTACCACTTAACCGAGATGTTTTGGTTTTGGACACATTGAAAGAGAATGCAAAAGGTATACATGTTCTGTGCGATTGCTGTTTTATTAATTTACTGCATATTACTTCCTGCTTATTCGCCTTTTTATTCCTACCCCTTTTGTCTATTATGGTAATGTGCAACTAATGTTGTTATTAGGATATTGTTAACATAGATATTAAACATTATGACTATTTCCACTCCTCTAGAATAAGTCTGGTTGTCCTTCTCTATGTTTTAGAAATGGATATAGCCTTCAAATCACAATATATGGATATCTTAGTCTGTTCCAAATCCTACTTCTAGACATTTTAATTGTTTTTTCTCTTTTAAATTACGGGAAATCATAATGTGCTGGATCATAGTTCCAGTGATGTTCAGAAATATTTGATATGTTAACGTTGTTCCTCCAGGCCAAACTTCAGATAATTAAGTGTATAAATGTTCTGATGGAGTCTGTATCTAAACATATAAGACATTCAACGATGGTAAACACCATCTGAATAAATGTGGATTGTATTTTAAGACTCCAAAATCTCGATAATTACTGGTTTAGATAGTGTGATATCATCACCGATTTTAGTGAGTCTAGTACTTAAAGTCTAAGTAAACGGAGCCACACGTTACAGCTTTTTAGCTGGAACTAGTACTGATGTTTTCCATTGTTATTGCTTTATCTTGGAAAGCCTCTGCACTACAAACCATAACATACAAAAAGACTTCTACATTATTGCAGTGTCACTAATAGCAATTAATGGTCAAGTCGTGTCCTCAGGAATCTTTTGGTAATTGTATGTATTCATAGGAATAAAGAGGTCAATACTCGGTAGCTGTAAAGCATGGAGTATCGGGGCCCATCTATCTTAGAATTCCAGTCCACTGATAAAAAGTAGATTTATTCAAATATATTTATTCCTCTTCACAGCGTAGAAGTGTTGGAGCAATCAAAATTGAGATGAGAAATGGTGATTGTTAATTCAGATTTCGTTTTACTTAGAGTAACAGCTTGTCTGCCTTTATTGTGGAGCACTGTGAACAGTGAACTAGTGTAAGCTTCGAGGATCACGAAGTGCTAAAGCTATTCACCCATAAGCTACCACAAAGGCTCTGCAAAGACGGTGGACAATGATGATCAACGAGAATTAGCAAAAGCAGCTATCTGGTCGCAGTTATTTAAACTGATCAAGAGATCCGGTCGGGGTGGATGAGATGATCTCCGGGAAGGGTAAAATTCCAATAACTCAAAAGATTCTACTGAAACATTGGGCGAATAGCCAGCAGATACACCATTGTTTCCGACCATCCAATCTCACTCTGTTTAAAATGTAGAAATCGGTTCTGCAAATGCAGCCAAAGTTGTGAGTTGTTTTTGATGTAAATTAAGGTAGGGCAAAAGGAAACTATGATATGTCTGAGGATTGTGATAGTAGTTATTGACTAGATTATCTAAGGCCACCAACCACTATTTGAGAATTCGAGATAATACCGGTCGAAAGGTGTAGATCAGTGAGTATGCCTGGATGTCAGAGAGCGGACGAATCTTACTGCGATTATCACTAAGGGATGACATGGACTTTTATGATGTCTAAGACCCTAGGGTCCATAGTTCTATGAAGATTAATTGGCGGCCAGCAAAAATAATGTAAAAATCAGTACCAGGCGACAATGAATTAAAAAGATCGTCATTCTTCGACAGTACCTTGAACATAGGTGTACTGTCGTCCAACACTTTCCATGTTTTTTTGCCTGATGTCGAAGTCATCCAGTATCAAAAGGTGTTGTGACAATACTTGATAGTGTTGGAAAAATCGTATCATCTATATCATCAAACAATATTAGGTGAGATCTCACCAAGTTAGGAAACATAACAGTGGTCAGAACAAAACAGCGTGTATCCATGACGTCATTGGCTGATGGTGTGAAAGATACCAAGAGATTTTGAGTTGTATGAACTTTTGCAATCAGTGGTTGTAGACTGTTGGTGGTAGTGTTCAAGTGTTTCAGTGTTTTGGATGTATTAACTCGTTAACATTGGTACTTTGAAAATGCTTCCAATTCTCCACTGGATTTTTCTCCCAACAGTAATTGCCTTACCAAATGTGGTGACTGGCATTGTTCCGTATCTGCAAAAAGTTTTACATTACTCAGTAAGCTAGTATTTGGTCGAGTTTAGTGGAAACAAGATTGTGAGATAATAAGTTTAACAAGGGAAGATTTTAGTTGCTAGGTCGGTATATCCTGTCCTGAATGCTGCGCGATCAGTGCTTCCTAAAGCTATAAAGTGCTGTTTGTTTTCTGTTTATTTAGACTTATAAAGATATAAGAGCGTTACTAGTTCACTCCAAACTTTATTTCATACTCCAGCATGTTTTTGATGTCTTCTTAAAATATTAGATTTATTAACAGTATTGCATATTTGGGAACTGAATGAAAACTGCAAAGTGGCTTACAGTTTTAGTCATAGTACTAATTTGAGTTAAAAATTTCAAGTCGCATCACATTTCAAGCGCAAAAAGTAAGTGACTGAAACAACAACGTTTTTGCCAGTCTTCTTTGTCTGCAAAGAGTACTGTCAACCCTCACGCAACTCATGCAGTATGCAGCGAAGCCTGTAAAAACAATATATATCTAGTCGATTTTTACATTCTAGGGGCGGAATTTTCCTCATTTCCTATAGTAAATATCCATCACTGACTGCCTTACTGACTTTTTGCAAGCGGCATATAATTCGAGATATTTAAAATGAGAAGTCGATGGATTCAGCCAGAGTCACAAATTAAAACTCGTTGAGCTGTGAATTCAGTATTCTATACTCATCTGACTGCGTTTAGCCTGGTAAATATTATTAAATGGCTTAAATTTAAATACCTTTTTGTAAAGGATTTTCCTACTCAGCTCAGAATATCTTATAAATTAATCCGTTATCTTATGTATTTCTTTTCAGTGGATAGGTTTAACCAAAGTACTGACGCGTCAACATCAGACACTGTGGGACCTTCAGCATTTGTGTCTGCTCGCCTCAGAACTGCTGACGCAAATGCTCTCCGTGGTCCCATGGCAAGTCGTCGAAAACCTGCAGATAGTGACCCTGATGTTATATTCTTGAGACAACAGACCCAAGCCCCGTGGCGTCCAGTGCGATATAAACGTTATGTAGTGAGTTCACTTGATATTTCTTATAGCTTCTGATATTTGGCTAAATGACGTATAGCTCTGACAATTTAACACGTGTTACAGATATGAAAAGGCTTAAATGTCTCGTTATTCTTAGTCTGTTATCCTCAGTTTTTTACTCCTTTCTTGTAGTGTAGACTGATTCGTCGTGATACCTGTCAGATAAGTCGATAAGTGACTAGTTTTCATGTATGTTTTATCTGTACCCATGTTTATCTGTTAATATTGGGTTTGCCTTATTTGTTTAAATCGTAGATATGCAAATGATTAAGTAGAATTCCTTTTGGTTAAAACCTTATTCGCTTTCCTGTGAATTATCTTTATCTGCGTTTGTTCAAACCCCAGTGACAATTAGTTGGATTTTAAATGAACTGATTGAAGCAAAAGTCAAATTGTGGGTAAAAATGTGTAAAAGTAAACTATAGTTCTGATGGACGTATACAATCAGTAACTGTCATATCTATACTTTTGAAGTTAAATGTTGTACCTGACTGTTTTAAAATGGGTGAACCGTATGACGGTAAGGTTGCGACCCGCTTGTCGGAAATCAAATAGCTAAATCCGATACACATCGAGCAAAATATATACCTTCAGAAAACTGGTAAGGTTCATCTGTTAGTGGTTTGATACTCTGTTAAAATGTGAACAGTCAAGAAATGTCATACATATACCAGTGTATTTGGTGGAGTACTGCATAATATGACTTAAGTGCTATAAGCACCAAAAACTTGTACTATTCCTTGGTGACACTATCTAATTCAGTTGATAAGAGTCAAAGGAAAAACAAAGACATTTGCTAGATAAAGGCGCTTCATTCTTACTTTCTTTTCAAATCAACGAAACCGGGTTTACTAAATTTAAGTGGATTTCGCTAAACAACCACCTAATTCGTTTCAGTCTGAGCATATTGTCAAAAATTGTAGCAGCTATCCAGTATTTAAACACTAGTCCAGTTGTCGAGATTTTTTGACTGTCTAGTTGCTATCCTACTGTGTAGCAACGCAACATTTCGTTTGAAGTTCCGTCAAAATTGATGGAAGGAACTACTAAGTGTAATTGTTTATTCAGATACTTATACAGATATTTTCTTGTGCACATTGATTTTTATTTTAGCCTAGTGAAGCTTTTGAAAGGCGTATCCCACTACTTTACCCAAATGATGATATGGAACATTCTCGTAATCATGCAATAGGTCCAAGTCAAGAAGAGTATGTTAACAGTTTGTTAGCTTCAGTAACACCCAATATTGTGGAGTAAGTGTTAAACTACTTAAAGATACCTTAATAGCTTATTTATCTAATTGAAAAAATGTGTTAACATACATATCATCTGATACTTCAACAAATCCAGTTGTATGTTGGTTGAGGTATCACTTATACCTGCTGGTTTAAATTGATAACTGGCTGAACTGTTAGGACACAAAAGTGAAGTCTGTCTGTCTGCCTGTTTTCGACATAGAACTTTGCACATACGTGCAGCAGTTCAAGTCGCCACACTCCATGTAGCACACGAAGCAAGAGAAAAACGTAGGAGAAATGCATATTAGAGACAGTAAACAGAGGTATGAGACAAAGGAATAGTAATAACGAAGAACAAAACAGTTTCATTGGAAATCATAAGTCACAAGGAGTGGATGCATCTGCGCCATTGAGAACGATTTTGAGCCATGTCACCAATTGTTTCCATACATTGGTTTTTACTGTCCCGAGGACTCCAACCAGGAAGTCTACACCTTCCTACGTGGCCTAGACTAACTGGTAGATTTCATTGACTGGTGCCATGTTTTGGTTTGACCACCATTGGCTCTTTTCTAACCTGATCCTGTTTCAGCTAACATTGTCCGTCGAGGAAGGCGATGACTAGGCATAAGTAGCACATGTCCTAACCATCTCAGTTGATGTAATTTCACAGTCTCGTCTATTGATTTCCCCTCCTTACCTAGCACTCGACGCCTAACCTCAATATTGCTCACTTTATTATGCCGCTTCACACGGGAGGTAGAATGCAGACACCTATGATCAAAGACAGCTAATCTTCTCATGTCTTCCACTCTCAATGGCCAGGTCTCACAGCCATAAAGAAGGACGGAGCGAACTGATGAGCAGTACATACGCCCTTTGGTCGATAGTCGGATATCACGTCTACGCCAGAGACGGCGTAAACTGGCATATGCGAAACTAGCCCTCTGTATCCGTGCTGGGATTTCGTCAGACATCAACCCGTTGGGGCTGATGGTACTTCCCAAGTAAGTGAAGCGGTCAACGTGCTCCACCACTTCACATCCTATTTCTAATCTAGGGGTCGGTGAAGTCCAATCCTGCAACATCATGTTGCATTTGGCGGGAGCGAATCGCATGCCAAACATTCGTAGATTGCTGCTCAAGGTGTTCAGAAGACTGCATTTTGTCAACGTCCTCGCCTAGAAGGGCTATATCGTCTGCATATTCTAAGTCAACGAGATTATGCTCTGACTTTAATAAGTCAATCCGTGAGTCACTGGAGTCAGCAGTTAGAGTTAATTCCATTAGTATATCTATGATGAAACAATAGAAATGGGGATAATGGGCATCCTTGACGGACGCCACTAGTCGTCACCACTTCAGATGACATCTCGCCGTAAGCTCTCAACTGGCTGCATGAGTTCTAGTAGAGTAGAGTGCCTTGATCAGTGTAATGTATTTTCTCGGCATTCCCTTTACAGCCAAGCATCGCCAGAGAACCTCTCGGTCGACAGAATCGAATATCACCTTTAGATCAAGAGATATAATGATTGTTGGACACCGGTAGGAATTTCTATGTTCTAGAATCTGTCGGAGGGTGAATATATTATCAATACACCCTCTTCCTGGTCTAAATTCTGTCTGGTTCTCTCATGTTCGTGCCTCCTGAGCACCACTTAGTGTATGCAATATTATTGAGCCTAGGACTTTAGATACTATATTAGTCAAGCTAATCCCTCTGTGATTATCACAGGAAAACTTGTCTCCCTTCTTGTATATCGGGATGATCAGTGACTTACACCAACCCGACGGGACTTCCTCTGATTCCCGGACGCTGCCTAGAACCTCAGTTAATGCAGACAGTAAACTGTCTCCACCGTACTTAAATACCTCTGGAGTCATTCCATCAGGTCCCACTGCTTCGCCTCGTTTCAGACTAGTGACATCTTTAGTAACCTCAGTTAGTGACAGGGAGATGTTGGATGTTCGGCAGGTTAAGCGTGGCTGTAGGCCAATTAAACTGCTCCTCGTAGTTCTCTTTCCAGCGTTCCAGTCGTCTATCCTGGGAGCTAATTATGGTGCCATTTTTCTCAGAGATTGTTTCACTTATCATTTGCCTTTTGCCACCTGTTTCCCTGATAAGCCTAAATAGTTGTCTGGTGTTGCCAATCGCCGATGCCTTTTCCATCTCTTTCGCTTTTGTGAAATGGTGAAGTAGTTCATACTGTCACACTTCAGATGACCACATATCAAAGCAGACTAGAGATACGTAATGAAACTGCAGTCGATAAATACCTGCGGGAGGGAGGATGAATAAATGGAGCCTACTGAAGATTGTCAGAAACTGGCTGATGATGAAAACTGAAGTCGTCTTCGCCATTGCCAATTTATTCTGAAACATGTCACCAACAATGTGGAACTATTAATTTTTAGTATCCTGAGTACCTGAGTCTGATAGTCTACACCCTGTTACGTAACTCGCACGAACAGTCTCAGACATCGTGGATTGATAAAATGTCTCCATATGGCCATTCTTGACTGATTTCTGGATGAGTCCTATTTCATCCCATAATGGAAAATCCATGAATATGATTTTCGAGTTCTAACTAAATGCTGTGTGGAACCAGCTGTGTTTACTTTCGATAAATATCTATCCTATTAATCGTAGCTTCTCATTCAGACTCTAGAAAATATTTCAAAGTCAGCTATTGACAGGATGTTAGTTGAGTAACGTGTTAAACACCATAGTTTCTGGTGAGAGAATGAAAAACTGAAGCAATAGACACTATGTTTGCACCTGTTAGATTAAGCTAATCAAGAAGTTTCATAATTTATTACTGATGCACTACATCCTGTTGATTTGTTTCAGTCGAAGTCGTCTGGAGCCTGTGAAACCACCTACGTTAGAGGAACTTATTCAGTCAATAATGGTAAAAGGTAATTTGATTTTGTTGTTATTATTACACAGTTACAGTATGACTTAGTGACATTAATAGTGAATCAATGTGTTTTGGGTTCAAAATCCACCATACGTTGTAATCTGTTATTTCTGTATGTCTTTTAAAGCCCAGCTTATACGTTTCAATAAACTGGTTATGTGCGTGAGGGAGCGATTCAAAGACCCACATTCTGTTACTGGTGCCAGCGTCTTACAGCATTTACCAAAGATCGCTATATTACTTCGTGGTTGGTGGGTTGCAAAAAGGTATGTTTGATGAACATGTATAAAAAAATTGAAAATTCTCTTAATTATGTGGATCTTTCGGTCTCCATTCATATGAAGGATAGGTGATGCTTAGAAAATACAGACATTCACCAAACTGTAGTGCTACAATTAAGTCTTCATATTTTTTTCACAGACATCTTTACCAGTAACCGATATTCGCTATGTTTCTTTACTTGATGGCAGAATTCAGTCTAGTCAATCAAGACTTATTTCGGCAGTGCTTGATAATGCTGAGAAGGCGTATCATGCTCGTCATCGCCCTCTACTTGAACTCATGCAACCGTTTGAGAAATTATAGATAGTTGACCAAAATGGTTACAACCAGTGATGCGTGTCACGGACGCTGAATGTTTTCATTCCAATTTGATTCTAGAAATTATCAAATGGAAAGAATCATTTTTTAATCTTGATTTTTCTATACTTTTTTTTGTTTTTTCTCCAGTGAAATTCTGTACCCACCGAATTCGTACAGTGAACACAGTGGTGTACCGAGTGCGTTACTGATCCGTGCACGTGATTATATCGTATGTTTTGTGTCATCGAATTTCCTGTCATTTATATTCCTTTTGATAAATGTTAAGTTTCAACTGCTTTGTTCTGTTTGGTCATACGTTGCATATACTTTTCTATGGAAATTTTCATCCTCGTAAATGCTTCTCACTATACATTTTGATTTTCTGAAAGCAAACGTGTTTTATAATCTCTCCTGTTATGTATACAAAGCTATGTACATTAGAGTAAAGCTTGGATATTATTCTCATATATATATATATATATATATATATATATATATATATATATATATGCTCTTAGAAGTGTGTGCGTGTTGTATTAGTAATTCACTAGATAGATGTAGTTGTTTAAATTACCCGACAATAAGGTTTATACACTTTTTTTGTCAGATCATAATGGAATAGTCATCCAGTAGTCATTTTAATCTCGTTCGTCTTTTATCAAACTCTATTGTAAGATAAGAAACTTATTTTACGATGTGAAATTAATTATTTCTAAGTTTCTAGTTTGTATTTCCACAATAATTTGTTTTCGATAAACAGTAAAAGTAGTTGTTTCCCTAATATTAGTACTCTTAAACAGTATTTTCTGAAAAAAAATAATTTACACTAAAACTTTAGCAACAACTGTTTATGAAAGTTATTTACTCGTAAACTGTTTGCTGATGAACATCGACTCTATAACCTAAATTGTAGGATTTAAGGATTGTGGATTTGATTATAAGATACTAGGTCAAAGACAACAATGTACTCCTCAGTTTTACTATAGCAAACGGATGGTATTGGATGTTGGGGACTATTTTAAAATCACCTCAACCTTCTAATAAGTGTCAATGGTAATAATTTTTTTTATCTCTTCCATTCAGATGTATTTTCATTTCTAGTAAACTAAAGATATACTTATGTTTGGTTACACATTTACTTTCGTTTGTTGCTCATTTGCTTGTCTTCCGTAGATGGCTGTGTTTCATCGTGGAGAACATTTAACCCGTAAAACCATATCATGCATGACTAAGGTAAGTTCATCCATATTTATAAAAGTACTCATTGAGTTAAATATAGGTAACAGTTTACCTACCAACTTATTTGGTGCCATATCTCAGCAAATTGTTGCACTTTTCACTGGAGTATATAATATGGAGTCTATTAAAAATCCACTAGTGTATAACTCTGAGAGAGAAATATGATTTCGTATGACGAGCATTTTGGATAAATTTAATCAATGTCTCTATTCAGCATTATACTATGTACATTGCTTCAGCCTGTGTAGAATTACCTAATAGATATTATTCCAACAGCTTGTCTTATATATATATATATATATCGTGTAACTGAATAATTGTAAATATGCTTACTCCATGTGCATATTATTTACCATATTGATGAGGCCTGTAAACTGGTGTTATTATTATTTACGACGTAAAAGTTTGGGTTGAGCATCTTATTCAAAATATGCATCACAAATTATCCAGCACAGCTGCTACTACGCTCAAGTTAACGCCTTCTTCATCGACGTATTGTATTTCTATTAACAGTGGTGAAGAGCTTTGGAAGATAGGGAAAGTAAACTTTAGGGGAAGAAAACAAATCAAAATGAATAGTAAATTGCTTAGGATAATGTATGAATGCATACGTGCCCCTGTGACTAATTTTGAGTAAAATACCAACTTAACTTATTTTGTATGCCATTGCTAAGGATCTTGGTATTCTATACACTACTTGAATAATCAGCCACACACTTTTTCGATCAGTCTGTATTTTGATGTGGCCATTTTAAGACTTCTGGCACGAAATGCTCACTATAAACTAGTGGAACCTTCCGAGGTAGGTGTTACCTAGGCATGTATCTCAACCATCCTTTAAACTATTGACATTATTTTTCAAATGTATGCATATCATTCTCCATATTGTTTTATCTGAAGTATGTGTTACTTTTAGCTGCCTACTGTTGAAGCCACTGAGATGCTGAAATCCTTGGCCTGTAAAATGTCGACCCCTCAAAAAGGCTGTGCAAACCATTGGGAATTTCATCCTACAGACTATGATTTCATAAAAAAGTAATTTAACATCATTTTTATTACTTTTTTGAACCAATAATGTCGTTTATCGGTAGCGAATGCGTATAAGTCGTAAAGTTACCACTTTGTCATGACTCATTTCGATGGTGATATTGTATTGCTGGCAGTAAATTTGATGCCGGTCAAAACAGCTGTCATAAACAGTATTCGGTCTACCGTCATTTTTTGTAGACACTCGTTGCTAAACTTCAATACCAATATATAAAAATAACGAGATCAACAATAATGACTCAGTAAACCGACTTAGGATGATAAAAATATAAAACGACCGGAAAGATACTGAAAATGAATGAATATCACTATCCCTTGTAGTTTCATTAAATCTTTTTCTTCTACTTTTATATATGTTTTTGCAAAGTGTTTGTGAACTTTTCTACTGTCCTGTTGCATTTTACTTTGATGAATCCTCCTCAATCGATTTCGGACCATATCATCGAGTTATTAGTTGAGGTTGATAGTTCTTAACCAGTACTATTTCGTTTACTGTTCTTAACTACTCATACGACCTATTAGTACTTGTTGTTAAACAGGAGGTTTAAACAAATGTATGCATGCACACACTCATCGTTTGTTTGCTGACTTATATCTGTTTTTATTCTAGACATCCAGATATTGTGCAACAACAGCAGGCTGCCTGGGAAATTCGTATCCGTCAATTGTGCACTCAATTAAAACTGGAGCAACTTGTGTCAGGTACATTTTTCAAATATTTCTTTGATTTATATGTTTGCTGGTCTTTAAAATCTAAAGTTGTGACTTCCCACGTAATTGAAATGGTACGTGCTTCAAAGCAGTTCAGTATCTATAGCCATTGTAAGGCATGATGGAAGCTAGCAACTGCACTTCCTGAAGTGGGTGATGCATTACAAGCATTCTCAGACTGCCAACCACACTATTCAAAATGCTTCATCTTATCAGCAAGAGAAAACCTTTAATATAAACGATGTCACTGTTTGTACTATATGAAATGAACCTATCTCATTTTGAGGTGTACTGTGTTCTGTTGTAAAGAGGGATGAAGCAATTTTAGAAAGAACAAGTGAACTCTGTTAATGATCGTATTTTATTTGAGTGAAGTCGGTAGCTCGTGGGAAGTGGATTTTCCGCAGCCACTGACATCATGTAATTTTCTCTTTTTTTTTCTTGTTGTGCTTAGAAGACATTCTGGGAGATGTCCATGTAAGGCCCACCTATAGTTATTGGAACTTGTGAAGTTAGTCCCTTGCAAACGTTTTTTCTTCCTTTGTAAGATAAATTTAACGGTCAATTTCCGTGATCAACTTGTCCCAACCGTGTTTACCCAATGGTCAAAAGGCTAAATAAATAACTTTGGTTAGTGTTTCAAGAATTGATACTATTATCTCTTTCTGACACTTCTCAGCTTTCTTCTAGTTCACTTTTACTTCCGCTAGTATAATTCGTGAAGTAACACGTGACCCAGTTATTTCAGGCGATGAAGATCTACATATATCTCTGCTACTTACTCGTACACCGGTTATTTGATGCCATAATTGTGAGGGTCTTGCTGCAACTATTGATTTGCGAAGCATGATAAATGAATGCAGTGATGCTATATCTATGTAACTACATTTTTCATATCTATCCTTTTTAAATTCATAATTAACTCTATTTGTTCGGAATTTATCTTCTGTATCCAGTCTGTCTGAATAAACTGATTATTTTTTGTAGATGGTACCCGACGTAAAAGTAACTCTGGAAGACGTACCTCTGAAAGTGGTTCCGAATCCGAAGGTGGCTTTCAGTCACTTGTTTCAGGTGTTCATGTTTCTTCACCTGGAAAACACGCGAATAATCGGAAGCGTATTCGTCAGATGAGTGTATGTCAAACAACTGATACTGAGAAGAGTGTTACTTCACCACAACCACCCAGCCGGAAGCGTATACGTACTCAGAGTCTTTCATCTGGTTATTCTTCTACTTCGTTATCACCCCCATCTAAACTTCCGCGTGCTTATACGCATGTTTTGTCTCCTGAATTTTGTGCACCCACCTGCCCTCCACGTATAAAGTCACCTTCTCCGAATCGAAAGGTGTGTGAAATTCCTCCTTCGAATACTCCTGAAAGTTGTGCTTCTGACAATCTATCACCTACAAAGGAATTTAGTGAGTACTTTTTCTTCTTATATTTGACTTCAGTGTGTAATTGTCATGTATTGATATAATGTAGGGAAAAGAATAGCTTAATTGACATTACTCTTCCTAGTTATCTCTCAATCTTTGCTTATTTTATGTTTGAGCTTACATATCACTTTCTTAGGAACATCTCATAGTGAATAATTGTTTGGCTTTTAGTATAAGTTTTGCTTCATAACTGCATACATTTGAGGTGATAACTTATTTACATCTCAAGGTAATAATAATGTCTACTATTCAAATCATACTGACACGTAATATACTCAGCGAAATTGCAGTTACATGTATAATTGATTTATTTTTTGGCATTAATGACATTGTTTGTTGGTCGGGACCTGTTTAAGTGGAACTGGATTAAAACCCATGCCTAACTCAAACCAACAATCAAAAACTCCATGGATTGTGGATGTAATTTTGTATCATATGAGTTAAATTTGTGCGTCATAGAAGGTGGTGGCCTGTCATACACAACTTATGTCTTAGACATCCCATTCACTGTGACTTCACAATCTCAAAAATTAATTTTCGCTTATCTAGCACTCTGCGCTTTATCTTATTACAAATCAGATTAGAGTAGTTAATACAACCACTAAAATTGAAGTGATCAACACATTCAACCACCTCTCTCTGTATCCCTAAACTAGGAGTTGATGTAGGCAAACTCGTTAACATCGTCTTGCACTTGATACGAGCGAGTCATATGTAAAACATACTTAAATGTTTGCTGAAGGTATTTGAAATAGCCGTCATTTTACGAGAGTTTTTGCTGGAAAGGACAATATCATATGCGTACTGTAGTTGGACGAAACTGTCGCCTGATAAGAAGTGAATCTTGTGGTGCAGAGTCACATGAGTCAGTGTATTCATGATGAAATTAAATAAGAATGTTGTTAGTCAGCACACGTGATAGACACCAGTAGTCGTCGTTACTTCAGATGCCCATTCCTGTACCATCATCTCAGGTGTTTGATATTAGTTTTCTCTCAAGGTACTAAGACGAGTGAAATTTATCAACGCTTTCACCCAGATGTGACTGGCTGATTGGTCTCTGTAGTCTTCATCAATAAGTTGTTTTCTTGATAGTCAACAGAGACTTGTGTTGAAACGGCACATTTATTAGCAGTTCATTTGGAAAATCTCTTGCTCAGCATCCAATGTCTATTTGGGTAAGATGTAGATATCAGTCATCTAACGGTAGCTGTTTTTGTACCACATTGATTCTTAGTTAATTCACTGTTAACTGCATTCATCAAGCTTTTTTTCACAAACATTTCGTATATCTGCTTGTGTTAATTGTGCAGATGTGTAATTCACAGATGTCTTTTTAGTGACAGCAACCGTTATCGACTTTTTATGTGACATGTCAACCTAGGTTTGTAGCTTCTTTAGAATAATCTAATTAGCTATTGCCAACAGTTAGAGTTAAAGTCAGATAGGTTATGTATCCTAATCTGACCACCATTAGTCTTTTGTATTCATTTAGTAGCGTGTTTAGGATGCTGATTCCCTGATTATGTGAGACTAGCTCTTTCCACTGAGACTTTGAGTTCAATGTTATAAATGGTTGATAGAGTTTGATCTGTTCCCTTCCTCTTAGACCTTTCGTTTTTTTCTTAGATAAACAGAATCAAGAAGTAACCTTCAAGCCTGAACCTAGTAGTCCTCGGTCTTCTCCTCCCCCAACTCCTACAGCAGAATTTGGCAATGGTAAGGTTAAACTTTCACCACCATCACAAAATTTATCACCAGAAGCAGATGAAAATCCCGGTTGTACAGAATTCCTCAATGAAAATAACTCTATTAACAATAATACTGATATACCTTCTACGCCATCAAGCTCTGTCAACGTTAATAACATCGAGAATGGCAGTGATAGTGAAATACCGGAGGCACTGAAGAATAATTCAGTTAATCTTGTAAAAAATATTTTAAATACTCAACCGATTGTGGCATTGTCTGAATTGACAAAAATTTACCAGGTAATACCTTTACACTTATATCCATTACACTTATTCCACTGGTACTTATCACCATTTCGTTTATGCAAATTGGTTTAGAATTGGTCTAAATATCAGTGGCACAACTATGCTGATATAATAGAGCATTTGCATGAATCAGTCAAAGCACTAAATGCATAACTAAAGAAATCAGTCTCATAGCAAAACCTGACCTGTAACGGCATCAAATGTTTCAAGAGGGGAAAGAGTATGACAATTTTCGGTGGATTTTTCTCGGGTTATTGTATGAATATATTCAACCGAATAACAGTGTAAAGAAAGGTAATATAAGTAAGGGATAGTGGAGCTGAACAGGAATATGTGTACCAAGTGTGTTCAGAGAAGTGTGTTACTGCAAATTATTTGCGAAAGTAGGACAAAAAAGTGAACTGAAGTATGTTTACTATTGATTTGGATTCCAAGTGTATTTCTGTCTAACCTTTTCTAAAGGAATGGAAATTTTTTCGTCCTGCATTCACATAACTGCCTAGATATATGAACTTTTCGACTATTTATACTTGTTCATGTGGTAAGTGAAACTGTGACTGGCAGCTGAGTAGTGCTCCCATGATTTTATATACATTATTATGTAAACTTACTTTAAAGGTAGTCACGATTGTAGCCTCCTTCTGCTGTGATAAGGCATTCTTAGTCTTCTGTATCTTCTCAAATAGTCCTCTCCATAGTCTTTAAATACGTAGAGCGTACACTGCTATGCGTGGGCGCTTGGAGTGCCTTTCAAACCTCCACTCTTCTAAATGGATCAATGTTAACTGACTATAAAGTGACATGCAAAAGATTCGAAAACTGGTGCTAATCACCTACAATGTATGAACGTTGGTTTTGTTCAGAGGCTTATACAGATAAGATTTTCACTCGTATATATATATATATATATATATATAATATATACATATATATATATTAATAGTCATAAATACATAATTACACTGCATATGCTTGTTTTATTGACGCCTGTTGGTGAAATTTCAATCAAATCTTCATTGTAAGTTTAGTGGTTGGAGTAAATATCAAAGTACGTTTTGTTATAAAGACTGATGTTTTGCAGTCATCCGAATTGTACGAATGGCATTTCCTACTTTAGTTCTCCTGCCCTAATAATTTATTGTAATTAAGTGGCCTATCTGAGTAACTTAGCGTCGGTGGCACAACGGTAAAATGCTTGCCAACCACGCAGGTGGTTCGGGGTTTGTTCCCCGGTCGACGTACTCCTTTACCTCACTAAACCAGTAATAAGACTGATAAAGAAGGAAGGTTGAGCATGAGGCTAGCAACTTCATCCCGTAAAAATAAACACCACTGCTACCGAAACTTCAAGTCTCTAGTGTGAAGCCCAATACTCCACCGGGAACGTAAAGAAATAAAAAAAGTCTGAGTAACTAAGCTAAATCCTACGGCGCCGAAGTACACAGTAGTTACATTTAAAACTGTAAGAGTGAATTGTACCAGGCTCCGTGTGTAAAAGCATCCTGAAGTATGAAGTTATCATTGAAGATGTTTAAAAGATCAATGAAATCATCACAAGTAAACCATTCAGCTCAGATGATTCAATAACATTAAATAAATCTACCTAAGTTTCGAATCTCCTCCATCATATCATAGTTTAAAACTTTCTTAGTGAAACTTATCTGTATTAATGGAGAAATTCTTGGAATGGCATTACTCAGTATTGAAAAAAAATTACAAGTTGTTTTTGTGAAACCGTAGGTCGTCTCATTTGTTTGTAATATACTCTTCAGAAAGAAGAAGTGATATCTAACCTTTCGATAAATTGGATATACTTTCCATTTTTTTACTGTAATGATACTAGAATATGTCAGGAAAAATTGCTTTATTTCTCATTCATGTAGCTGTTTAAAAGGTAATTGTTAAAGTATAGTGATTTAATTAGGTTTTATTCATACTGTTTTTATTTATTATTTAGCAACAATTGGGAAATTTCGATGCGAATTCCTATTCTTCTCTCTGGAAAAATAATCCACCGCCACCAGGTTCTGAAAGTGAACGTGAAATGTTGAAAACACATCTTTTAGAAGCCTTAAAATTAGTTGGCGCTCGTCGACTAGTGGTTCGTTGGCCAACAGTACCTACTGCTTTGGAAGAGGAACCGTTGTTTGTAACACAAGTAGCTGGTCAAGAATGCGGTGCTGTTAATGAATCGATTGCACAGGTGTGTTTGTGACTATCGAATTTTATCATTATTCCTCTGGGTGGAACACAGGGCTTTAGTAGCACATCTCCACTTCACTCTCTATTTTCTGCAGTCTTCTTTAGCTGGCTCCACTATCTCCCATAATCTTTCATTTTTTCTCATACTATCTCCCATGTGTCATCCTCGAACGCCCAACTCGTCGTTTCCCATTAGGGTTTCACATGAGAGCCTGGCACATGATGTCACTCAACGGTCTTTTCAACTGATGTTCAATCCATCTCCATTGCTTGGTAATATGTTCTTGGTTGATTCATCTTCAGAGTTCCCTGTTGTTTATGCTTTCTGACCATCAAGTCTTCAATACTAAGTGAAGGCAATTGTTGATGAAAGTTTGCAGCCTGTTGGAAATGCTTTTCGCTGTGCTCCAAGTCTTTAAACCATATAGAAGCACCATTAATGCTGAAGATCCTGTTCTTGTTGCTTATGCTGAGTCGAGCAGATTTCCACTGATCTTAGAGTAATGGACTTGTGTCTCCGGTCCTGGCTTTGACATCCCCATGTATCCTGTCTGTAGCTGAAACGATACTACCTGGTGGTAAGTCAAAGAAGGGATCTCGTTCAAATTTCCTCCGCTGACAGTATTTGATGCTTGTTTTTGTTGTCAGTCAGGTATCTTCATCACCTCTACCCTCTATACTTTTACTTGAATTTCGTTCGTTGCCACTTATCTTTTTCTGGAGTTTGACAAAATAGCCTTTCTTCGTGAACGTTCTGCATTAATGGTGCAAGCATATTTGCTGTGGTGTCGGTCCGTTTCCAGTGCTTCTGGGAGGATTCTGTTTGGCCCCCTTGCTTTTCTGGCTTTCAGTCCCTTTACTGTCTTCAAGACTTCTGTCTGTTTTTCACTAGTAGCTATTAGTATTATTTCTGGACATGTTGCAGGTAGTAGTCAATTCAAGATTTTGCTGAAGTGATCGGCTGCTTTTCCTTTGTTTCTCGTCTTCCATAAATAGGTTTCCTTCACAATCTCTCATTGGTTTCGTCTGTGTTGGTCTCTTCCCGGATTACGACATGGTTATCGGATATAGTGCCCTACAGCCAGTTATGCTGTTATCGCCAGTGTATCGTGAAATTATCTGTCTTTCCTGTCATTCTTCTTCGCCTTTTTGTTCGATGTGCTGTAGATTGTTCAACTTTGCACTGGTTCATCTGTTTTACCCGCCCTCTCTCATCTTCTAGCTACCATGTGTCCGTAGAAATCCGTTCGTTATCTTGTCTCTTCCTTCCCCAGACAGTTATGCAGGTGTCCTTCGGCATCACTTTCAAAGTCACAGTGTTCTTCCACACAGATTCCTAGCACTTCTATGCCATATCTTCTTTTTTCTCTTGCAATCTGAACTGCATTCCCAGCTTCAAACATCCTCTGTACATTCCATCTCCGTGTGTCTTCATGCTTATATTTGTTTTCACTGAAAGAAGACACATCGGCCAACTGGCTTCCAAAAGGCTTTCACCGGTCTGCGCGATGTCGTCTGTCCTATTTCAGCGAAGAATAAGTTTTCTTTTTATATTTTGTCTATGCATTGAAGTTTCTGTAACGATTGGATCGATTTCCTGGTGACAGGTCTCTAGACACACGCCCAGCCTTCCCTCGTTCTTCAGGATTATAACCGACTGGCAAATTTGGCGAGGTTTTATGATCATATAAAACTTTTTTTAACGCTTGCGCAATCTTATTATCTGTTCGGATAATATGTATGTCTCCTATTGAACGTTATAAATGCCAAGGAAGTTACAGTAATTTTGAGATTAATATTGAGGCACTTATCAACCAGGATTACACTTCAGCAAGTGCTTGCGATTGACTCTGCAATTTTATTTTGGCCCTATTTGTGCTACCTTCGTATACATATGTATCAGTCTATTTGGTTCATAGGGAGATTTTAATGCTTAAACGACTATTTGCTTTTATTTTTGCAGTTATTTACCTCTCACTACTTCATATGATATATCTTAGAGATATATAACAGTCCGTTTGCTCCCAAGGTATCATTTATTGAGAAGTTAGGCTTCACTGAAAGGACACTTATTTCATAGTCATTACCGTACCATAGTCGTAGGTGTGCTAAATCACAAGTATAACTGATTAGTTGATGCTTTTGCAAGAATAATGACTTTAGTTGAAAGAAAATCTGTTGCATAGGTGGCACCAAATTGTGTAGATGAAACCATATCACTAGTCATACTAAGAAGGACAGGCACTTTAAACTTCTGATTTCTAAATACACTGCCTAATTAACTGGGATTTACCAAAAGAATCCTCAGCTGTCACTACTGTATTGGATTAACAATCGCTTAATGATGCTTGACTTTAATACTCTTTGACTAATTTATATAGTATCTAATAGCAAAACTTCCGTAGAATTGGTTATCCTTTTTAATTTACCATTCACTGGCAATAAAGGTTCCTACTAACAGTCGGTATCACTTACCATTGAGTTTTGACATTTATTAAAGTAAACTTATGTCAAAATTCACATAGTAAGTTGTACTTTGTCCTCTTCTAGTTTTTTCTTTTAAATATTAACTCTCAACTTCTAATCATTTGCTGGACAGTGAAAAATAACCTTAAAAATCGTTTACTGTTCAGTAGGTGAGTGTTATTAATTCATACGAAGCACTCCTCTGATCCCGTGGTATATAGTTTTTTTTAACCACATGTGTGTAATGATTAATTTTACCAATTACACTGTTAAATATTTTAATTTATTATCTTGTCTTCCTTCTATGTGTAGTTCCGAGATGCAATACTGGATTTGTATGAATCGTTGCCGAGTTTTAAGATGAGAGATTTACAAGATAAATGTGATGTATTTCCTCCCAAAGGAATGTCTGAAAAAGCAATGCGCGCATTCATAAAGGCAAGTAATTGATAGTATAACCAGTGGCTTAACTACTTTCCGAATTTGCAGTTGTTTTTCGACTACTCAATAATTATGTGTTGAATTTCGGTCGAAAGCATTTTTTTTCATTGTTGCCAAAGTTTATTACCGCTGACTTGATTAAAATATGTATAGTTTTCTTATTGTCTGTCATAATCGATTTCGAATACAAAACTTTTATTTACCACCATATTGGGTTCTTTTCACAGTAATCTCAGTGGCTCAACTTGCGGGACACAATGGTCACTACAAGCCTCGGTTATTTTCTTACTAAATACAGTCTACTGTATTCACTTAAATTTGTCAACTTTCCAGGCTTTGTCATATCTTGGTTTTACTCCCACCTTTGTTACTCTTGGCTTTCAAGGTTATCGTATCCAGTAGTAGTGACCATTAGTCAGTATCAGTTTGTCTGCAGCCAAAACTGCTTCAAGCGTTGACAAAACAACGCGCCATATAGCACTAAAGAAGTATAGAAAAAGGAACAATGGTTGATCTGATGGTGAAGAAAATAAAAAATTTTAATGTCGAGTAGGGAAACTAAGGGAAAATATTAAAATGTGTTCAGTGTTCTAAGGAAAGAAGGGACTTAGTCCCCTTCGTTTTATCTCGCTTTAAATAGGGGTACTATGTATCAGTCAAAACATGAAGTGATGAAAATATCCAACGTTAAGTAGTGTGGAATTAGATTATAAGTATCCCGAATGCTGGTTTTAAGGGGAGCAACCCACAAGGTCACTTCTCTCTAAACTATAATTTAATGTAAAAAATCTCCCTGTAAACAAACCTGCTACAGAAACTTCACCATGAGCAATCTCCTTGCGACAAAAGAAAAAGTCTGTGTGGGGACATGGAATGTCCGCACTATGTACGAGACTGGCAAAGCTGCCCAGATCGCCAGCGAGATGAAAAGATACAGAATCCAAGTGCTGGGAATATGTGAAAGCAGATGGAATGGAAGTGGACTCACCAAATTATCAACGGGAGAGTCAGTGATCTACTCCGGTCACCCAGAAGATAACCACACGCACACCGAGGGCGTGGCTATCATGATGTCACCAACGGCAACGAAAGCCCTGATGCAATGGGAAGCGATCTCGTCCAGGATAATGACCGCCAGATTCAACTCCAAAGGAAGAAAAGTGTCAATAATCCAATGTTATGCACCCACCAACAACGCAGACCTCGAAACGAAAGAAGAATTTTACATACAACTACAGGCAGCAATAGACAATACTCCAGCTGACGACATTAAAATACTAATGGGAGATATGAACGCCGAACTGGGACCAGACAATACAGGAAGAGAACTCATCATGGGTAGAGAAGCTCTTGGAGAAATGAATGAAAATGGAGAACTCTTCGCCGACTTCTGCGCCTTCAACGAACTAGTGATTGGTGGCAGTGTTTACAAGCACAGAGATATCCACAAGGCTACATGGGTGTCACCAGATGGGCGAACCAAAAACCAAATTGACTTCATCTCAATCTCAAGGAAGTGGAGGCGCAGCCTACTAGACACGAAAGTAAGAAGAGGAGCAGACGTTGGCTCAGACCACTACCTCGTACAACGGACAATCCAAATCAAATTAAAAGCTTTCAGAGAAACAGGAGCTGCAGATAGACCACAAGCCAAGTTCAACACTCAAAAACTGAAGGACCAGGACACAAAGGACATCTTCACTGCAAGCATAAAGGACAAAGCCGAGACACAAAGCAACACTGGCGAAGAGGTCAACGTCGAAAAGCAATAGAACAACTTGAAAACAGTGTGGAGTCAAACCTGCATGGAAGTTCTAGGCAGAAAGAAGAGACAGGACAAACAGTGGCTCACGACGGACACTTGGAGACTGATAGAAGAGAGAGGGATGGTGAAACAAAAGATTCTCCAGTGAACCAACGAGCAACAAAAAGAGGATTTGAATGCAAACTACAAGACACTGAACAAAAGAGTAAGGAAGAGTGCCAGAGAAGACAAAGGAAAGTATTATGAAACCATGGCAAGTGAAGCAGAACAAGCTCCAGGCAAAGGAGATCTCGAAACACTCTACCAAACAACTAGGTACCTATCGGGGAAACGTTTCACACAAATTAAGCCGATCAAGGAAAGTCACGGAAAGTCACTCACCAAAGAAGTGGAGCAAAGGAAACACTGGGCTGAACACTTCAAAAGACTCCTAAATCGACCACCATCTACAACGCACCCAACAATATCAACAACGAAGACAGAGCTACCAGTGAACACCATCCCCCGACGAAATCAGAAGTCCTGAAGGCAATCAAGATGCTAAAAGCTGGAAAAGCAGCAGGACCAGATGGAATCCCAGCAGAAGCATTGAAAATGGATCCAGAGACAACAGCGGACTTGATGACGCCACTACTGGAGAAGGTGTGGAAAGAAGGCAAAGTACCTGAAGATTGGAAGAAAGGATACTTATTCAAACTACCAAAGAAAGGAGACTTAAGTCAATGCAAGAACTGGCGCGGAATTATGCTCCCGTCCATCCTAAGCAAAATACTAAGCTGCATCATCCTGGAGAGAATCAAACATGCCCTGAATGAAAAACTTCGACCGGAACAGGCTGGATTCAGGAGAAACAAGTCATGCATTGATCAAATCGCCATATTACGAATCATCATTGAACAAAGCCTGGAATGGCAGTCACCTCTCCATCTCAACTTCATCGACTTTGAAAAGGCATTCGACAGCGTCGATCGAGAGGTGATTTGGCAACTACTTCGCTACTACAGGGTGCCACCGACAATTATACATCTCATCCAACAGCTGTACGACAATGCTGCATGCCAAGTAATCCACAACGGGAAAATTACGGAATCCTTCGAAGTGAGGACAAGAGTAAGACAAGCTGGCTGCCTACTATCGCCAATGATTTTCCTGATTGCAGTAGACTGGATAATGCGACAAAAAGCGGGGAACGAGGAAACAGGCATAAAATGGACTCACACAAAAAATTTGGAGGATCTGGACTTCGCCGATGATATATGTCTGATTTCCCACAAACTGGAAGATATGCAAGCGAAAAGCACCAAGTTGGCAGAAGAAGCATCAAAGATAGGTGAACATAGAGAAAACAGGTGATGAAGATTCCTGAGCAAGAACAACAACAACAGACAACAATCAGCGTAAATGGGAGGAACCTGAAAGAAACAACCTCTTTTACCTACCTGGGAAGCATCACCTCAACTACGGGCGGAACTGACCAGGATATCAAAAGCAAGACAAGCTTTCATTTCTCTCAAGTCTGTGTGCATTAAAAATAAGATCCGGATTTTCAACTCCAATGTGAAGTCAGTGCTACTATACGGATCAGAGACTCGCACTGCGCGTCATAAAGAGCATCTCAAACAAACTACAGACCTTCATTAACAGTTGTCTTCCCTCAATACCACTCAAGATCAGATGGCCGGCCAGAAAAGATCAGCAACGGAGATCTCTGGCAATGAGCGAACCAACCCAGCAGGAACCGATTGTGAAACAAATAGGCAGGAAGAAATGGAGATGGATTGGCTGGCCATACTCTGAGGAAACCATCAAGTGACATCACTAGACAAGCCATTGCTCGAGTGGAACGCGAAAGGGAAGCGGCGAGTTGGTCGTCAGTGCGAGGGTGACTTGGAGGAGGTCATGTGAAGAGGAAATGAAAACGTGTGGCCAGACATGGAGCCAGGTGAAGACTCTAGCAGAGAACCGAACGCAATGGAGACACACAGCTGAAGCGCTATGTTCCTCTGGGAATTAAAGGAAACAATAATAATAATAATCCCGAATAATACAAAGACTAAGCATGTGTATAATCTGTTAAGTCACCCACCGACTAATATTCTGAGTCATCTCGGAATGCACAATTCCTGTGTCTTTGAGGTAATGTTGCTTAGATCTGATTTCAGATCTATTCAAACCTTATCTTTGTGAATTGTGATTAGATGCTTGATGTGTTTTAGTTTGCCCGGGATTTTGCTATCTATCTGATGTATCATTGTGAAGTCTTGTATTCGAAACTATTACATAGTAAATACTAAAGCCTACTTTGACAATGTGTGCCTTAAAATCATTAAAAATCCTGTATCACTGCGAGATAAAAGTTTTCAAAAGTATGTTCTAGGTTTTGGAATTCATCAATAGGGTTTCGTGTACTTTTCCACAAATTATTGTATTTTTTGTTTACTTTTACCATTTATGTTTTACTTCCTTTTTAAAGTAGAAACTCCTATCGTTTCCAGGACATTTATTGACAAAATCATCTAAAATAGGAGGCTTTCGTCATTAAAAGAATTTTATTTTCAAGAGTTGTTTTGTTTCTTTCAAATTCGACCACAGATTGATGTCAGTTAGAGAACCATTGGACACCAAGGAGTACCGGACGACTGTTTCGTCCTAGTTTCTGACTCATCGGAAGTACGCACTCGCCGGTTTTCGAACCCAAAACCTTCCTATCACAAGGCAAGCTCATAGATCATTCAGCCACTGGGAGAGGATTCAATGGCCCATGAGTGTTATTACTTCTACCAATTCGTGATTTTAATACGATCATCAGCCAATGTCATCGGCGAGCATTTGTCCTTAATATCGACAGGATGGACCCCACTGGTGATGACTTCTCACTAAAACTCCAGGAAACTCCGTCCTGCAGCCAGTCAATAGCAAGCATCAGATTAATTTTCAAAAGTTGATTTTTGTGGATTTGATTTGTTATTTCAAATTCGACTACGGATTGGGTCATTGAGTCGGATCCCAGTAGCGGAATCGTCTACGGGATTGCCTTGTAACAGGGTTGTCCTGGGTTCGAAATCCGGTGGATGCATGCTGCCGATGAGTGCCACGCTGGGACGAGACAGTTGTCCAGTACTCCCTGGTTTTCATTGGTTCTCTAACTGATATCAATCTGTGGTCATGCTTGAAAAAATGGAAGAACTGTAATCGAGTTTGTATATTTCATGTTACATATTCAATACGATAACTCAGAATTAGTGTTATTCCATTTCTTCATTTTAATATAAACGACTGCGTACTTGATTTAATAATGTGAAGCAAAATTTTTGTGAGAGTATCATTACAGTGATTACTGTTGTCAAGCTAATTAATTACTTAGTGTGAATATATCTTTTTAATGCAATAAAAAAAGCAGTGAGAAAAGTCGATCTTTGTTATTCTGTCACAAATTGTCTCACATTTAAAATACTATTAACTCCCGTTTATGTATTTTTTTTGTTCACTTTTAGCAATTCTGTATATTCAGACATGGAAGATATTTCCTACGTTGTACTATCTCATGTGATTAATGTCTATAAATCGAAATGGTAATTCCACTACTTTTTAAAAATTCGACTCTGTGTGCGAAATATGGATATTTTAGTAGATCTGCTGTAGATTTTGTTCGAATTGTTCATATTTATTTATTTCATTGTGGACGACTTAATTTTTGTAACTATAATTCAACTTCATTCTGCCATGTACTTGTGATGACTTCTCCCTTTTGTTCAAAGCAGTTAATTTACTTCTAAATGATTCCTTAACTTACTGCCGGACATTATCCTATTTAATCAATATATCAGGAAAATACAGAGTTTTGTATGTCGGTGTGCATTTAAAAATGTACTAGCTATGCATTTCTTACCTCGAAAATACCAATATCACTATAGACAACAGAGCAGTTATGTTTTCTGTCAGTTTTGTAACCCCTAAGATCTCACCAGGAAAACAAAAGGTCCACTTCATTATGACTACTTTTTTCTGCTTTTAGTATGAATAGTATATATCTAAATACTTATTAAGGGATAAATATATTTTTCAGTAGTTTGATCTGTTATATGCCGTCAAGTAAAGACCTGTTGTTTACTGAACAGAAATGTGATGACATTAAGGTAACCAGCTGCAAGCTCTATTGCTTCTCACATCCGACAGCGTCGTCTTATTCTCTGCTCAATTTTTTTTTCTAATCATTACTATGCCATGCGCCACAAATGGTTCAACCGTAATTTATATAAAAACAACTTTACCCCTGTTTGACAGTGAGCTGTGACACTTTCCAATGATCTATGGTATTGTACTATTGAATTTATTACATGAATTTTAGTCAGTTGCTAACACATTTTCCAACCATTCCTTTGTTGTCCAGGTCCAGTCAACCCAATAATCCTCACATATTAGACGTATTTCACAATCATCTATCTAAACATAAGTAGATGCAAATTTTGCTGTAAATAAAATTTCTTTTTACTTAAGTCGTCCAGCTCTCTTTACCATACCAGTTTTTATTGTTGAGTGGATTGTTGAAATCATGTTGTCATCTACTTTTTCATCTTTTTGTTTATATTATATGAAGATGCAGTATTATTATTATTATCCTTGATATTACTAATGTTATTGTCATCATCGACTTCCATAGACATTTATTTTTACTAACTGTAAGTATTAGTTATGTGCTTTTCTGCAAAACCCCTAGTGTATTATTATTTTGATTGATTACTTTTGTCCCATTAAACAATAATTACTTGATATTTTCTGAATAAATGTATTATTTTACATCTACGTTTTGATGGAATAGACCAGCCGGTTCGTATAGTGCTGGATTCAGCTGTTGTATCATACCAACTCTAGGTTTGCCCATTTGGTTTTCAGTAATTCTGCTTTGCTGCAAAAAAGCGCTCAGTATAAGATATAGAACAGAAATGCGTACATATTCATTGACTGCTTAAACAGTCCTTTCCTTTATATAGAAAAACACATGCTATCAAGATCCTTAAAAATATTTGTAGTGATTCACCTTTCTTTCACTACTTCTGCACTGGTTCATAGATTTATTCAGTGTACCTTCTCTCTGTGTTTAAAGAACACACAACAACGATGATCGTCTTCTACAGTTCTGCTCAGATAATCATCTGTTTCTAGTCAGCACTAACTTTAGGCACAAAGAGAGACATTGCGTAACCTGGCGACCTCCATCATCAAATCAACGTTGGACACAGATAGACCACATAGCGATAGGGTATCGTTGGCGAGGGTCAGTAGAAGACTGCCGATCCTTCTGGAAGACCTGAGTATACTCTTATCACGCCCTGGTTCGTGCACGTTTATGCTTACGACTTAACGGACATAAAAAATTGTTGGCAGCGAAACAGTTACGTCTCCAACTAGATCAAGACTCTGAGTCCCTACTTAAGGAAGAAATAGCGAAACGAGTGCCTGGGGTTGACAATAGTACTCCTCCTGAGGTAGCCTGGTACAACATAGAGTTAGCTGTAGACACAGCTGTAAAAGCTGTTAATAACCTGAAACGAAAAGTTAGTAAGAGCCATTTGATTTCTACCACCTCATCCTAACTGATTGACGCAAGAAGACTGATTCCAGCGAGCCCCGATTATAATGAAGAGCGAAAACTATTCAAACCAAAACTAACAAGAAGTCTTTATAATAACCGTGAATAGTGGTGGGCAACAAAAGCTACGGAAATGGAAAAGGCATCGGCGATCGGTAACACCAGACAACTGCTTAAACTTATCAGGGAAACAGGTGGCAAAACGCAAATGATAAGTGAAACAATCTCTGACAGAAATGGGACCATAATTAGCTCCCAGAATAGACGACTGGAACATTGGAGAGAACACTTTGAGGAGCAGTTTACTTGGCCTACGGCCACGGTAAACTTACCGAACATCCAACACCTCCCTGAATAGGATATAGACACAGGTCCTCCGTCCTTAAATGAGGTTACTAAGGCTGTCACTAGTCTGAAACGAGGCGAAGCAGCAGGATCTGATGGAATAACTCTTAAGGTATTTAAGTATGGTGGAGACAGTTTACTTTCTGCATTAACTAAGGTGCTAGGTAGTGTCTAGGAATCAGAGGAAATCCCGTCGTGTTGGTGTAAGTAACTGATTATCCCGATATACAGGAAGAGAAACAAGTCTTCCTGTGATAATCACAAGGGGATTAGCTTCACCAATATGGTATCTAAGTTCTAGGCTCAATAATAATGCGTAGACTAAGCGGTGTTCGGGAGGCACGAACACGAGAGAACCAGGCAGACTTTAGACCAGGAAGAGGGTGTATTGATCATATATTCACCCTTCGACAGATTCTGGAGCATAGGCATACTTACCGGCGTCCAACAATCATTATATTTCTTGACCTAAAGGCGGCATTCGATTCTGTAGACCGAGGGATACTCTGGCGATGCTTGGCTGTAAAAGGAATGCCGGGAAAATACATTGCACTGATTAAGGAACTCTACTCAAACTTATGCAGTCAGCCAGGTGAGAGCTTACGGCGATTTGTCATCTGAATTGGTGACAACTAGTGGTGTCCGACAGGGATGCCCACTATCTCTACTTCCATTCAATTTCATCATAGATGTACTAATGGAATTAACTCTAAATGCTGACTCCAGTGACTCACGGATTGACTTGTTACCAGGGAATAATCTCGTTGACCCATCTGGGTGAAAACGGTAAAAAAAAATGCAAAGTCTTCTGAACACCTTGAGTTGCAATCTGCGAATGTTTGGTATGCGATTCGCTCCTGTCAAATGCAAGATGATGCTACAGGACTGGACTACATTGACTCCTAGCCTAGAAATAGGGAGTAAAGTGGTAGAGTGTGTTGACTTCTCCACTTATTTGGGAAGTTGGATCAGTCCCACTAGACAAGCCCTCGAGTGGAACCCGAAAGGGAAGCGGCGAGTTGGTCGTCAGTGCGAGGGTGACTTGGAGGAGGTCATGTGAAGAGGAAATGAAAACGTGTGGCCAGACATGGAGCCAGGTGAAGACTCTAGCAGAGAACCGAGCGCAATGGAGACTCGGCTGAAGCCCTATGTTCCTGTACGAATTAAAGGAAACAATAATGATAATACTAATCAGTCCCAACGGGTTGATCGCTGACGAAATCTCAGCACGGATACAGAAGGCTCGTCCGGCATATGCCCGCTAAATTACGCCATCTCTGGCTTAGTAGACATGATATCCCGCTGGTTGTCAACCAAAGGGCGTGTGTACTGCTCAGCAGTTACTTCGCTCCGTCCTCCTTTGTGGCTGTGAGATCTGGTCATTGAGAGTGGAAGACATGAAAAGATTAGCTGTCTTTGATCATAGGTGCCTGTGTTCTATTTACTGTGTGAAGTGGTATGATAAGGTGAGCAATATTGAGGTTAGGCGTCGAGTGCTAGGTAAGGAGGGGAAATCAATGGACGAAGCTGTGAAGTTACATCCACTGAGATGGTTAGGACATGTGTTACGTATGCCTAGCCATCGCATTCGTCGATGGGCAGTGTTAGCTGATATAGGGTCACTTTGGAAAAGAGTTAGCTGCAGTCAAACCAAAACATGGCACCAGTCAATGAAATCCACAACAGCTAGTCTAAGCCAGCTACGTAGGAAGGTGTTGACTTCCTCGGGACCGTCAAAACCAATGGTTGGAAGCAATCGGTGACATGGCTCAAAATCGTTCTCAATAGCGCAGATGCATCCACTCCTTGTAACTTATAATTTTCAATAAAATTGTATTATTCTTCGATATCATTATTCTTTTTGCCTCGTATCTCTGTTTATTATCCCTATTTTGCGTTTCTTTTTGTGCTCTGTGAAGTGTGGCGACTCGAACTGCTGCACATCGGTGCAGAGTTCTATGTTGAAACCAGTCAGTCTAATATGTACACTATGAATATTCCATCAGGATAAACCCTTTACTCGGAGAAAACTGAACTACTAGAACTATTTATTGAAAATATGTTAGGTTACATGCGCCCCGTTGACATTAAACATCCTAAAATTTCTATTAAACTGCTTTTCATTCTTCTATTTTTATTTGCTGCTTTATTGTGCCGTTAACTTTTAGTTTAGATAATCGTTAAAATTTGTACTGAAATGTTTGAAAATTTTAAAAACAACGGCTTGTAAGCTTACATAATCCGTATGATACATTCATCTGATTCGAAAGGTGTCTTTATCATATTCAGTAATTTTCATGTCGGTCACATTGGTCGTTTTTTATAATTTTATTCCCAAGATGATTTGTTTCTCGCTCAAATTAACTTCAATCATAAGAAGGGACATTATCTTAATTAGTAACGAGCGACAAAGGATCAGCGAAGAACACAGATGTTACTTCGAGGTATTATTGTAGTGAATGGGAGCTTCTTCCTAAGTATCTGTTCGCGCTACAAACATGCGTCAATGCATGTCAGTTGATTTGAAAAGGGCAACATTACTTCTGCCTACTGAATTGAAGTAAGTAAGAATTTTATGAACATTACACTTCTTATATTCAGTTTATGATGAGGACAGTT